TTGCCGGGCACGCACCGCAGGAGCCCCACATCCACGGTTCATGTGCAGGACATGGCCACGGAGCCGGAAGAGGCGGGCTTTGTGGGTCTCAAGCGGCCCTCGATAAGTCTCTTCACACCCATTTACTTTGCCAGCGAGAAGCGCTCGCCCATGGGTCCCATACCGCCGATAACCGTCTCGAATCCCGCCGAGACTTACAAGGAGGCGGCGGAGGCGGCTGCCCGGGAGAAGGAGCGGGAGAAGGAGAAGGAGGCAGCCCAGCCGCCGGAGAAGAAGAGCGTAATGCGTGAGATACTGGCCTTTGTGCGTAAGCCATCGAAGCATTTGAGCAGCCGGACCAACCGCTTTGCCAATGCTTTCACACGCGCCGAATCGGGTTCCTCTGGTGGCCCGCTAATCCGACAGAGCACGTTCTCCGCCAGTCCAGCCGCCTCCTCGACGGCGGCCAAGAGTGCTGTGCAAAAGCAAATGTCCGAGGTGGGCTTCGAGCCCAAGATATCGCAGAAGTTCACCCACTACGCCAAGATGTCCCTGCGGCTGAGGCGATCCACCAAGCGCGACGAGGAGGAGAAAAAGCAGAGCTCGGCAGCGGGCTCGAAGAGGCCCAGTGCGGACCTGAGCCAGGCCAATGCGGAGCACCAGCAGGTAGGTGGATCGGATGAGCTGCCCTTCGAGCTGGCCAATGTGCACTTCGAGAAGGTAGGTGAGTCCTATATCAAGCATGAGCGGCTACGCGAGTTGCAAGAACCGGAAGTCGAAAAGGAGATCGAACGGGAGCAGGCAACGGAAATGACAGGCGAAACGGAAACGGAAGCAGAAGCGGAAGTGGAGGTGGAGCAAACCGATGCAGCCATGGCGCTGTTCGTGGAGGAGGTCACCAATTCGCTGAAAGTGGTGGCCCTGAATGGCGAGGGCGGAGCAGCCGCTGTCCACCACTTCACGCGTCGATCGGAGAGCCGGGAGCCCATTGAGCCGCGGATCAGCGAGGAACGGGAGTCGGACTCCAACGATCTGATGATACCCGACGAGATGCGCGCCGAGTTGGTAGAGATCTTGAAGGCCTACGCCCCAGAACCAGTTTATGTGAATCTGCAGGCACTGCGGCGGGAAACGGAAGACGCGGACCTGGCCGTCGCCCAGGCTGAGGCTGCAGTCTTGGCGGCGGCCCTGGTGGCCGAACCCCTCAAGAAGCCGCTGCAGTGTCCTACCATCGAGTTTGAGCCGCCCTCGCGCCGCTCCTCCTTCGACCCCCCCCGCTCGCCCTTCCTCGAGCAGCTGCGCAGTCCCGGCGTGGACACGGACACCGATTTGATCAATCTCCAACGGCTCGACTCCGGCGGCGACAGCTTCGACCTGGTCGAGAGCAAATGGAGCAAGTCCAGTCGCGGCGAGTCCAGTTTCGATTGTCCCTACTCCTCCAGGGACACCAGCTTCGATGTCTCCATTTCACGCTATCAGTCCACCAGTTACGAGGATCAGACCTCCAGTTTTGAGATTGTCGATACGGATGAGAAGGGCGCTCAGGGCGCTCAGGGCGGTAGAAGGGCCGTGGACCTGCGCAAGAGCTCCATTGAGCTGGTCGATGCGGAGACCTTCCAAAGGTCGGGCTCCTCCTGCGGCGGTCGCAAGTCCTCGCTGGAGACCCACTTTGATTACACGCCCACCGATGGTCGCTCGCCCAGCCTCCCATTTCCGGCCATGAGCAAGAAGCAGCGCACGGAGAACTTCCGCCAGCTGCATGTGTCCCAGTTCAGTGCCTTTTCCCGGGCACGCAGTCCGCTCTCCCAGCAGACATCCTCGAACTACAGCTCCAGGGACAGCTATGATTCGAGTGGCTCGTATCCGCATGGCTATGGCTATCCGCCGGAGCCACAGAAATCTCCGTACGGCGATCCCAGTCGCAAGCACTTTCCGCTGACGGTGCGGCAGAAGAGTCGGGCGGAGGAGGAGGAGCGTGAGGTGCGCACCTTCCTCTGCACGGACCAGAGATGTGCCTCGATCTTCGAGCCGCGTCCCAGCTCCGTGCTCACCCAGCAGCTGTCCACCGGGTCCATGTCCACCCCATCGGGCTATACAAATGGTACACCCCGGGTGCCGTTTGGACCCGTACCGCTTGTCCATGCCGGTCCGCTTTCATCCACCTGCGTCGGCGGCGCCGGCGGCGGCGGTGGCTTCTCCAGCGGCAGCGAGTTCGAGCCACCGTCACCGAGACGAGCGGCCAGTGCCTCGCCCAAGCACACCTTCACGTTCCGCATCGTGATGAAGAAGGTGGACAGCTCGCCGGAGGCCCTGTGCCCGGAGCGGCATCGGTCGAGGATAATAGATAGGTACAGAAGGCGCGACAGTCGCCGCAAGCGAATCCACGATGCTGGGAAAAGCTTCTAGGGGGGACAGTAGGGCGCAAGTTGAGTGGCCACCAGTGATGGGTAAAGTACTTAGATAGGATACTAAACACACTCACAAAACCAGACAAAAACCAAATTGACCCAAGAAGTTTCTAAGCTAACTAGATTTCAGGAGCAATGATCTAAAAAGTGTCTAAATAAACTTGAACCATCTTAATAAAAGGAATTAATAAAGTACATTTCAACATTTTTTAGTTCATTTTTCCTAAAATGCATGTAAAAAATGCAAGTTAAGTGCAAAAAGTATCATTCTAGGAACAATGATCTAGAAAGTGTCGAAATTAACTAAAATGGCCCGACATTATTTCTAAAAAAAAAGTCATTTTAATCCTGTTTGGTACATTTTGGTGTTTTGGTGTTTTATAAATACATGAAGAGCCGAGTAACAAATCAAAATGTTGCAAATTAGCTTAGCCCAATAACTAAACTTAACAATAAACTGCCTTTTACACCCTTATCGAGGGTACAATACAATACTCTTTCAACCAATATTTGCAATACTCATACCGTAAAGAATATATCTCAGAACGAATCAAATTCTGTAAAATAAAAGCCATAAAGTCCCGCAAATATTTTATAAAATCATAATTATTAAAGCCTATTGCTAGGGAAGAGAACTACACTTATTACAAAAACATTTCGATGTTCAAAATATGGTAAAAGAATTAACACGTTTTAAAACCGAATGCATCTAAGTACCTGTTACTAAATAATTTGTTTTTTAATAGTCAGTTGTAAAATAAAGTTATTTGTGTAGCAATACAGGAAATAAATGTTTAGTTAGGTAAGCAAAATATATAGTTCCCATCACTGGTACCCCGTACCCCAAAAACACAGGTGAACCTCATGAAATACTCGCGGCAATCTCTTGATATCTCCACAATACGCATATATTTTTGACAATCTCAGTGTGGCATCTATCGAGAACCTCTAGCAATCGCAACCTCTTTAGGGTTAAGGATGACACCGAACTGCTGGCGTTTGGTAATCAAACTTTATAAAATGGTTCTGGTTTTTAGGCCGTTTCAAAAGCTCTCTACCAAAGGCGTGAACTTCGGCCGACCGAAGTCAGTCCACACTTATGATCTCTGCTGATTTGTCAAGCAACCCAACTCATTGGACCCACGGCTACAAATAGCCAGCCGTGGATGATATTAATTATATATTGTATATTCTAAATAATTAACAAACTTATGCGCAACAATAATTCCTCCCACGATTTACCTGACTACTATTTAAACGACAAACAATAGATCAAAAGTTTATATGTATACATGTGCATAAGAGTTCACACTTCGATGTTGTAATTAATGTGGAAACCGAAAACCGAAAAGCGGAAAATCGAAATCAGAAAGAGAGAATATTCTAAGTATTTGTGCATTTTTACGTGGTTCCTGTTATATAGCTATATATATATATATATAGTAGATATATGCGCAGTCAGGCGCAAGTATTACAAATTTTTGATGGCATAATATAATCGATATACATTGTATGTTTTTAAGGAACCTAAGAAATATTTAATTCTTAATGTAACCGAACTGCGCTGCTATTGCAAAGGGTCAGAAAAGTTTTTTCTAGATAACTCCTAAGACTAAGATCAGAGCAAAATAATGCGCATACAAGAATGTGTGTGTGCGCATAATTGTATATTAAAGCTGGATTTGGGGCCGTATTTAAATCTTAACAATGTAAGAAAGCATAAACTTTTGTGCCGCAAAAAAAAAAAAAATGAAGATGAGAAGTGAAAAATATGGTATTATCAAATTAATATTTAGTGTTAAACTTTGAGCAACATTTTTGGACTCTATGTTTGTCAGTTAAAAACAAAGGAACCCTAAACCGTAAATTTAAGTGGAGTATCCAACAAATCATAATTTACAAAGTATACACATTGTATGTAATACTCGTTGGCTTTTTAGCAAATTACTCGTAAGCCGAAAGATATCAGCATTTTACAGGTAATTACGCATCATGAGCATTTAATTCCAAGTTAAGATGGTAGCTAATCGTAGCGATAACCAGTCGATCTCGGATCTCGGATCTGGAGCCCCCTTCGATCCAGGACTACGCACTACACTCGTAACTAATCGGAATGCCAGTAGAAACGTTGATATTTTGATTTGTAGTTGCTTGTTTTGAAACTAACCAACAGTCGCTGACCAAATCGCTTGAGCAGTTACTTATTTTTGATCGATTGCGCCTCTAAATGCTTGCGAGAGGTACGGAGTTTGTAGCGACTTGAATCCTGGCCAGTGCAACAGCCAACTACAATTTCACAATGCCAACTTCTTCTATTTGCAGAACGGGTTTACGTTTACAGTGTGCCAGCTGGATCGGATGTGGATTTGGTCCCGGGATTTTAAGCCCAAACCCATACGTTATTAGGCATTTTAATTCAGAGTATGTCGTTGTCGTGGCGTTTGTTAGACTAAGTCCAGTTCCAGTTCCAGTTCCAGTTACAGTTCCAGTTCGAATCGAATCGAATTAAATGTCTTACTTTGCATTTGTACTGTTGTACTACATATATTGTTGCCGCTGCTCACATACTATGCATACTCGAATAGTTAGAGCTAAAACTAAAACCTCCATACATTATGTGCGTTCGTTTTTATTGTAATTTGAGACAACAAATAAAGCCCAGATTTCTGTGTTACCTTAATAAAATTACTTAAACTTTGGCATCCACATGGAGGGCCATCATGCCGTCGAAGTCATCGGCTCCGATGTGGATGTAGCCGTAGCCATTGTCCTTCACCGTCACCGATTTGCCGGTGCAGGAGCCATTGATCAGGCTGCCGGAGATCACATCGCAGTACTCGCCGGCGGGCAGGCAGGTGTTCAGCTCTTGGGACAGGTCGTACTGGTTGTTGTTGACCGCCAGGAAGCCCTTGTTGCCGCGGCAGAAGGAGATCTGGCTGTCGCCATTGTCCCACCACTCGGCCATCTCCGTGTCACGTACGGCATTCTTGAAGCCCACCATCGCGTAGATCTGGCGCCAGCGATGCTCGCAAATCCAGCCATTCACACAGGCTCCGTCCTCATCGAACTCCGGCGAGATAATCCTCTCCTGCGCATCCTGCGGCGGCGGAGTGTCGTGATCATCGAAGGCAAAGGAGCTCATCACGCGACTGATGCCATACGGATAGGCCAAGTGGAAGGCGGTGGCCATCTTGTACTGCCTGGGCGACTTGTAGTTCAGCACGGCTCCCGCATCGCGCTGGTTGTCGTGGTTGTCCACAAAGGTCAGGGCCTGACCCGAGGGCAGGAATCCCCAGCCGGTGCCCCAGCTCTGCAGCCACCTCAAGGCGTTGTTGCCACGGAAGGCGTTGCCGATCTCCTCGGAGAAGCGGAACTCGGTGACGGCACCCAGATCCTTGTACTCATCACGGGACACGGTCTCGTGGCCATGGTCGATAACCTCCTGGAAGATGAAGGGACGGGCGTTGTGGGGGAATCCGTGATCGGTGTTCAGGTCGCTCAGGCTGCGGTAGATGTACTGTACGAAAATAGTCCAATATTAAAACATGATTATTATTTACATAACTAGTTAAAATTGCTTAAAACCGCAATCTATGATATTTAAAGCAGAGAAACACGCAAACTCACCTCCAGATCCTCCGAAGCCATGTGCTTGGCGGCATCCACTCGGAATCCGGCCACGCCCAGTTCGATGAGGTGATCGAGGAACTCGATGAGCTTGCTCCTAACCCAATCGCTGCTCTGGTCCAGATCCTTGAGGCCAACCAGCTCGCACTGCTGCACCTGGAAGCGATTGTTCCAGTCGGTGATCTCGCAGCTGGGGTGGAAGTCCTGGGCCGAGAAGGGAACTCCCGGGAAGGATTTCTTGCTGGGCTCCGCCTCTGTGCCGGCTGTGCCAATGGCCACGCCATCGAAATCGCCGGACATGTGGTTCAATAGCACATCCACGTAGATGCGAACACCCACTTCGTTGCAGCGACGCACCATGTCACCGAACTCCTCCTCATTTCCCGAGCGAGTGGTCAGCTTGTAGGAGATGGGCTGGTACCTTTCCCACCAGGGACGACCCGCCGAAATGATGTTCTCATTCACGGGACTCACTTGCACTCCGGCAAATCCTCGGGGACCCAGGAAACTCTCACACTCCTCGGCGATGTCCGACCACTTCCATTCGAACAGGTGGACAATGGTGTTGCGATTGCCCCACCAATGGGGATTGTGCTGGGCCAGCGAAAGGCTGCCCGCCAGGCAAAGCGTCAGGGCCAATGCGAACTTGAACATGACCGTAAACTGTAGGCAATCTTTCAAACCAATTCCCCTTTTATACCCCACGGGCATCGAATCTTATCGCGGATTTGCTTCGCTTGGGTCCAATTTACGACCAGCAGATGGTCGCCTTTCGATTGGAGGGCAGATTTACAATGGCCATCGGCTGACCTATGACAATAAGAGATACTGGGGCAGATATTTGCAAGTATTTTTGCTTTCCCAGAAAGCGTCTCATGATGTCTCAGGATGATTAGATTCTTGAGTACATTAGACACCGTTGCTTTAAAATACAAAAAAAAATTGGATCGCTCAAGTCCATCTTACAAAAAATTCAATTTGTAATATTATATTGAATTAAATATCATTAAATATCATTTTGATAAAATAATTTTAAATTTAAATTTTATTATGATCAAACTAAATTTCTCGAAAAAAAAAATAAATTGATGTTTTCATATATTAACTCTATTTTATCTATACCCTTAATTTCTTGAACTCAATTTTCGAATATATAAGAATTCAAACATATAGAAGGACCAAATCAAAATCAGTTTGGAAAACAATGTATTTAGCTATGAAAAGTATTGATTTAAAATGACATTAAATTATAAACAGTTTTTTATATAAAAAAGTATTCCAAGAGATCCAATGCATTTTTGCGAATAGTATCTTGATTTTATTAAGATCGAAATTTTGGTTTTTAAGCTTAATTCTTAAAACTCCATTTTTAAATATAAAAATAATCAATAATAAAAAGTTGTTTATATTTATAGTTCAATTTTTTACTTAGCATTTCAAACACCTAAGAAAAACATATATACCCATCTTACTGAATTAATGAGAAGGTTCGTTCGCGCGCCATATTCCGCTTGAAATCGATTTTATTGCCCTAATTTATGACAATATTTTTTTTGCATTTTGCCATCGGTTGATTACGATTTGTGAATTATGAAAACTGATTTCTGGTGTTTACTGTGCATGTCATTTGCTTTGGGCCGGGCGAACTTTGGTCCCTTATGAAGCATCTTGTTGCGTGTCTCACATTCCATTTTATAGTTCTTGCGGAGGATAACTGAAAAGTAGTAGATAATCTCCACCACCGACAGCATACTCATGCCCACAAAAAGACTAAAGGCGCTGCCCAGGTTAGCTAAAGATAATAAGTTAATTATAAGTTAAGAAATTGCTGTGCTAAATGAAATACACGTACAAACCAAAGTAACCATATTGGAAAGCAAATCTCGACGTAGGCGACGATAGCTAAAGGAATTGATAAAGACATGCAATATACCATCATTTTTGGCAAGGCCTGAGCTGAAGTCAAAGATAATTTTATACTTTGTACAGTGAAGAAGTATTGGTTTACCTACTAGAACTTGTCGGCAATTGGCATGTTGAGTTCGAGGGGAAAATTGGTAACCTGCACATCGTAATCAAGGTGTTCACAAGCAAGTGGACAATCGCACTGTGTGCTCTTTTTTCTGGTAATAATATTTGCTAAAAATAAAGTGTTAAATTTATTATTGTATAATCTAAACCAATAAATGACCCACCAAAATTATTAATTAGACAGGGAATGTCCCTAAAGGTACAAATCCGATCTGTGGTTCTATTAAAGTCAAAGAAGTACGTGTGACAGCCGCAGAACTTGACCATATTTGTGACCCTACAATTTAGCTCGCAATTGGGGTAAACATAATCCGGAAAGTATCGCAGTGGGAACTCTTTCTGGAAAACGCAATTTCTCTCCTCAATCGTTAAAGCTTTAACAGCCGCCGAACAAAATGTTTCTTGAGGTCTGAGGGCAGCGAAAGTTTCTGTATTAAAGGCCACGAATTTAGCAGCAGCATGCGCACTGGGAAAAGCATCAACTTCTTGGATTAGCAGCTTTACGCCATAGGAATACGATTGCACTGGATCGTAGCTGTCGTCCTGGTACCGAACAATAACTGAAAGTCCATTTTTAAAACCTCCTTTGACTCGTTGCGCTGTGAAGTTGAGACTGTTCAAAAAATAATTAAATCAAATAGTTAAATAATTTTTCAGGGATTTGATTGAAATAAACAAATAATCACAATTTCATGATTGTTTTTCTTTTTAAAACTTATTCTCTCACAAAGTAGTTATTATTCTTTTGCACGAAAAAAATTTCTCAATAACTAACTTAAAATTAATCAATATTTTTCTAAACAACACATTTTGCTCGTAGTCGCAAACCGTTTGTTTGGTTGGAAAAATACTGCTAAAATTAAATATATATGTGATTTTTTTCGCTCAAAAAGTTATTATTAAAATGTTATTCTTATTTTATCACCTTTGATAATTTAAGTCCCTGTGATATTGTTAACTCACCCCTTCTGTCGCAAATTGAACGAACAACAGTGACCGAAAAAAGTTTTGGACAGCTGGAAAATCTGCGAACAATCCAATATTTCACCATTGAATCGACAGCGATAGAGAATTTCATTGCAATCCCAACGTAGGTGTTCCACAAACTGTTGAATTGTCAGGTTGTTAATATAGATCAAGGTCTCCATTTGTTCAATATCCTGGGCAGTATAACGTTCATCATCCAGCATAAAACCGTAGAAAATGTGAAGTTTTCGAAGAATGCCACTTAAATCGGATCCTTTTGGAAGTTGTCTGTTAGAATTAAATACTTTAAAAATTAAGGAAAATATTTGAAGTTACTTTCACCCACATAGTTTTTAGGAAAGCCTTTGATTTCTGCATATTGAATAGCACATCGGGACAAATGGTGACTGGTGGAAAGTAGAGATTGTTGACGGGCGTGTGATCACTTTCCACATTCATTCTCGTGGGACTACTGCGGTAGTCTATGTAGAAGGTGTGCGCCATAACCACAGCACAAATGAACATCACAAGCGAGATCAACAGCCATACTAGATGCACTATTTTATTGGTGTCCTCGTCGCGGGTGTATCTCAATCCATGGATACTGCTGGTGGCACAGAAGTCACCCCAAGTGCGTCGAAGGGAACCCACCAAAGGGGACACATTCAGATCCACTTGGTCCGGGCTCAGCTCCTCTTCGTGACCCATTTGAAAAGCCAACTGAAGGCCTTTGCTTTGGTACAAGCTCTTTAATACAGGGCTTAGAAAAGATGGCTCACTTGATATCCTGACAAGTACTTATTATTAACGAATTAGGATTCAAGGGTGAGGCAGTCGTCAAAGAACGTTTAACATACAGTTTTGGGAGTCAGCTTTGGTATGCAGTGTTTGGAATTGTATCATATAGAGGGTTATAAGAAATATGGGCCAAATTATAGGAATTGAAAAAAACAATTTCCGAATGAAATACAAGGTCTCATGTTGGATGTTTCTTAGTTTCTTGTAGACAATAGTGACGCAATATTGGTCTATACAAAAATTTCCGTAAGAAAAAAATCTCAATTAACGGATATTTGAATATACATTATTCCCAATTAAACGAAAAGTAGCTTTTGTTTGTTTCTTAAACTAGTAGTTTTTAATGGTTTCCATACATTTGGTTGTTTGCCCAACAACGTTCTCTTGAGCGGATCATTTAATTTCAAAACAGTGAAATCAGTAAGAGAACTAAACTCTGTCGCTATCACAATAAGTTAAAGAAAACTACGCATTTGCAATGGTAGACCTCGATTTTCCCTACTCTAAAGTTGACGATTTGTGCTCGATTTGGTGTGGGTTCGTTTGGAGTTCCCAAAAGTAACATATTTACAATGGGAAACTTACTACTGTCTTTTTAGCGGTGTATATGCAGGCACAGGAATAGATCAAAGGCTAAACTATCAATATTAACAACTTTTGGCTTAACAAATAGGTAACTAAAACAAGGACTAAACTATATAGTATCGTGTACGTATTAATAGTAATGACGGCTAATACTAGGGCCATTTTTGGAGTCTTAGGAGCTGGAGATGGCCTGTGGCGCCGAGTTGCCATTGCCCAGCCTTTGCGGGGTGGTGCTCGAGGTCTGCAGGGCCGGTTTCTGCTCATCATCCTCCGGATTGTCCCAGAACTGTCGCTCACCGGAGCCGAAGATGTTGTAGAAGGTGCCGCAGATGATGTACACAAACGCGGCGATGAAGAACACGATCTGCCACTGACCCATCATGGGCTAAAATAGAAAGGGGTGAAAGTTAGTAAGATACAAAGATCATCCCTATTGATTTACGCAAACAAAATTAATGGTCTAGTCTAGGGGTGCTCAAGCTTTACATTTTCAATGTTTCTCTTTTGTTTTACCATTCTGTTATTTTGTCATCGCTAATCCAAATGATATTAGTTTTTCTCTTTTTCTTGTCTTTACAATGACATTTGGTACATGAGTCCCTGGTTTTTGTTTGTAACAACTAATCCAAATAATATTCTTTAGTTTTGACACTCTTCACTGACATACTTAGAATTGTGTTGCTAAACGCACTGCCATAATGCAGTATTGAGCACCCCTGTTTTAGATTTAACAAAACCTAAACTCCAAACTCACCTTGCTGTGATCCGAGATGAGGTTGCCCGCAGCAATGGGCGCCAGTAGACCTGCCAAATTGGCCGAACAATTAGTGATGGCCATCAGGAAACCAGCGAAACGCGGGGTGAGGTCCAAGTGGTTGATCTTGAAGCCGGAGTAGATGCCGCCATTGAGGCCCACGCCAATGGTCAAGATGGCCAACGTTAGAGCTCGATCACAGCCCGTGTAGGAGGCGGCTATCAGGGCAATGCCAGGACCATACTGGCCAATACTGTTGATCAGCTTCCTGGTGGCCGTGTGTGAGAATCTCTTCGAGCTGATCATCCAGTCGGCGATCACCGAGATGAACATGGAGAAGAGCCACATGGCCAGGTAGGGCAGGGAGCTGAGCAAACCGTTCGACTTCAGGGAGAAGCGGAGCACCTGCTTCATGTAGGTGGGCAGCTCGGTCATCAGGGTCTCGTAGCCATAGTTGTGACCCATGTGGGCGAACAGAATGGCGTAGAAGGGTAGCGACTTCATGATGGCCTTGAAGGGAATGGGTGGACTCTGAAAAAAATAATGCAAAAATATTACAAACTCCACTTACAGTAAGGAAAAAACAAACAACCCACCTTGACCACATCAGTTCCCCAGAGGGCATCATTGATGTACTTCTTCTCGCGCTCATCGATGGTGGGATGCGCAGAGGGTTCCTCGTACACAAAGACCAGGAAGGCAATGGACCAGATGGTTCCCACCACGCCAAACACGTAGAAAATCGATGGCCAACCGCCATCGAAACCGTATTCGGCCAGCAAGCCGGAAAGTGGCATCGAGATGATTGTGCCAAATTGAGCACCCGCGTAGACTGCTGCCCCCATGCGGGATCTCTCGTTGGGCGGAATCCATTTGGCCAACATGGCGTGGGTGCAGGGCACAATGGGACCCTCACCCAGACCCTGGATAAAGCGCACCGCACACAGACCCCAAACTCCTCCGCCACGGGCAGCCACCGGAACCAAAAAGGCAAACACCGAGTTGATCAGCATGCCATAGCCCAGGAATCGCAGAGAGCCATACTTCTTGGCCAAGATGCCGAAGGGAATCTGGGTGATCACATAGCCGTAGAAGAAGGAGGACAGGATATAGCCCTGCAGGGCCGAGCTCCAGGGGAACTCGCCATCTTGGGAATCGTCCTAAAAATTGGATTCAAAATTCAGGTAAGTGAAAATGTTACACAATTTAAAAAATCAACTTACAATTGGTATATCCCGATCTCCGCACTCATCATCGTACTCCTCTTCACCGGTCTTAATGGCCGTGTGATTAACCATGGCCACAATGGCAACCGACATATTAGTGCGCATCACGTACGCATTGGCCATGCCCAGGAAAAGCATAAAGGTCACAAAGTACCGGGTGGCAAAGCATCCTAGAAGATAAAGATAACATAAATTAGTTCACAGATAAAAAAATTGTATAACAAATATTATAAATTGAATAATTATAATAAATTCATTAATAAATATAAAATCATGGCAATGAATACAATTTAAATACATTTTATTCAAGATAAATAGGCTTTAAACGTAAATTATTATTATTATAATTTTCAAATAAATTATCTATTCCGAAATAAGTTTAATAAAAATGTTTAAATTTTATGCAAAATATTTCGATTTATTACGTTTTGTTTACAAGTGTAAGAAAAAACGCAATCAAAGGAGAACCCAAGAGAATATAAAATATTTAAATGTACACCCTCAGAGATGGTGAAAACCGAATTTATATTACTCAATTCATGCGTCAGTGAGCAATAAGCATGCACAAAATAATTAATCTAAGGCAGGCGGAAATCTTGTCAACAACTATAAAAGCTAGCTGGCAAATTATATGTTTCGGAAATGCACAAATAACCCAAATACATCGCGGCTACAAGTGAGATATGAAGATATAATCTAGTCTGGGGTTTGCTTAGCTCAAGGTTCGTTGCTCGATCGAGATAAGATTCCCTTCAGGTTTACTAAATGACTCATAGAATAATGTACACCCTACAAAGTTTACTTTATTTCCCATAAAATACTTTAATTAGATTTGTTTTAATTAATATCCAATTAAAAATGATTCGTTCCTATATGCTTTGTGTCACCATTTCACAATGGCCTATCGGTCCCCTTTATTTTTATTTTTATGGGCACAGAGTCATATTCCGAGATCGCGTTTTGTTATTATGATGAAAGCAAAAGCAATTGTTTACGTTTGGGGGGAATGATGAGTGCTTGTTATTTTTTAGTGCCGTTTGTGTCATTTGTCAAACGTGAATCGTCGTTATTACTAGCAATTCACAAGGCCGTGAAACACGTGAGGATATCCAGAATTCCAGCTTTCAGTACAGTTGTGTTTGCTTTCTAGGGCTTGGGGCTGGGGTTGGGTCTGTATGGGTTAATTAGAGGGTGACGCATTGAAAGTTCAAGGCTGCCGCTGAACAGAAATAGTCGAGTCAATTTACTTTCAAAACTAATGAACTTTGCCCACCTTTCGGTAAATCAAAAACTGTACGATAAGCTTTTTGTGTTCAATAACCCAACAGATTCGCTGGAATTTAGTTCCCCCCTTAATTCCCGAAAAAAAATATGACATAAACAATCGGTATGAAACCACAAAATTGCTGATTGAAAATTAATTTCAAAAACATTGTTGTTCGCTGGCCGTTTGTTTCTGCTCACGCAGCGTTAAATCGCGCGATTTGCTCGCTTTTTTCCCTGGTTTCCCCCATTTTCCACCAACACATCTCGTGTTGCACAATTGCCGCGTTTGCTTTCGTTGGCAGCAATCTGGCGATGAGGAGAAGCACGTGTACATCGCGCGAAATCAGCACAAGGAGAAGAAAACCGGTCTACGGGTGTAGATGTGTGTTCAAGAGGTGAACGACGATTGGTTCTACCCTTAGTATTACGTATACGCAGGGTGGGCATAAAGGAAAGGTGTTAAAGAGAACAAAGGGAATAGTTTGAAAAAATCTGCAAAACAGAGTAGGTATACAAGTACCAATAAAAAAAGTTTATTTAAAATTTAACATACAACTTTGTACAAATACAATTGTGCAAAGACAACTAAACATAGCATTCCTATGTCTTGTTATAGGCGATCTTAGCTTACTCTGTGGCTGTTGCTCCAGGGACTCATGGACGCTCCTCTGATTCCACACCAAAACATGGCCATCGCGATGACGGTGATTCAGACTGCTGCGTCGGAAGGGCATTTTGTGGTAAGCCACCCTTAACGCAACTAAATTCGATATTTTCTAGTTTGGTTTTCCTCGCGGGTTCAAGACTTTTTGCGCACACGCTTAAACCATTTCATTGTCTATCTGTCGACTTGGCCGGCTGAAGACCGTAACATATCGCGGGCTGGGAAACTCGGCGGCTCGAATCGGAAAATAATTAGCAATAATTTTCGTTAGCCCAATAGCCCAAAGTGTTCTTTCCTCGAGGCTGAACGGTCAACTGAGTCGGTACTTTGCGCTCCCGCTTGTTGCTTTCAGCTTTTTCTACTGAGCGCCAACTGTTGCGCCGCCTTCATTTATAAACTGCGGCACTGTGGGTATGAGTATGAGCCCTGAGTATATCTGCGGCTATTGGGTTCGGATATAGAACGAGCATATGGGTGCACGAATGTACGAGTATGTACGATTCTGCGCCGGCGTCGCTCTCACCGCCGCCGGGTGATTACATCAGTTTAAGTGTTCAGATTTCGACTAATTAAGTGAGGCGATGGAAAATTCTCCCCAGCATAATGCATCATTTCAGGCCCGGCGATTGATGTCAATTGATAGAGTGAACTTTTCAGTCGGAACCAAAGTCAGCGAAATCGGGCGAACCACCTTCGTATAGTATATATGTCTAATTATATCGGATGGACGTAAGCATTGGTAGACCCTCACATCTCGTGACTTTCGGCACATGGAGTACACGTACACGCGCTGCCTAAAATATGCACAGCTAAGTGATTATGGTAACATGGGGAGCTACTGTGGGGTACTTGGAAAATTACTAAGTATTTTGTATGTTTTCTATTTCATTCATAAGATAAAAAAGGGTTAGGAAAGCTGTTTATTTTATTGTGTGTAGTTTATTGTGTTTAATTTTAAAAAGTACCTCTTCAATGCTAACACCAAATTATAATTCTTAAACTAGCCTAACAACCTAAAAAAAGCAAATGGGGGTACATTTTGAAGTAATTGAAAAATTACAAAGTATATATGTTCTCTATTTCGTTCATAAAAAAAAGTGAGTAAATAAACAGTTTTATAAACCAGGAGCAACTTAAGTTCACTATTGCTTATGCGTTTTTAAAAGAAAATTATTGAAATTATAGTTCTTAAACTATACTAACCACCCGCAACAAAAACAAATGGGGCAGACATGTGTAAATATGTCTATAGACCCAGGATGAAGTCATAGAAATGCGACGCCGCTAAATAAAGGCGCCCCCACAAGGTGCACTCTATATTTTCTGTGTAATTACTGGTCATGCCAAAATATATACGCTATTTAATCGTTTTGACAAGTTGTTGCTAATTTTGACATAGCCCGAAAGTCAGAACAAAACAGCACACCATTTCCCCTGTTGTTTGTGGCTTAACCATTATTTATTTTTTCAACAAACCGCAGAGCGAGACCAAAGTTGAATCAGTAAAAGTAGCCACAGTCACGCTTGACTAGCACAAGTGTTTGTTCGTATACTATTGAATGTGTGCGGCAATGGCGGAGTCCGCTCTGAAAGTTGCCGCCGGCTGAGACCGACACGTGTTTGTCGCCTGCCTCTTCTCACAAGTTGAAATTGCCAATCCGATGCGATCACAACGACTTGCGTATGAGCTACTACTGAATAAGGGGTAGAAGCTTTAAAAGGGTAAGTATCTATAAGAACACAAAAGAGAATCAAGGTATTGATTTCTGCATTAAAAAAACAAAAAGCTAAAAGTCAAGAATAGTAAAAAAAAAGTTAGAAAGGGTAAATATCAAACGCAAGTAGTTTATCTATAAGAATATCCAAGCAATCACTAATTCTATGTTGCTTTATATTCGCAACAGCATAGTTTCCTTTTTATGGCTCCTTTTGTGTTAATTGTTTTTAGCTGGCATTGAGCGTGTTAAGCTCTCGTGACAAAAAAAAGAGAAGCCATTTACACTGTCTAGCTTGATGAATACCATATTCTAATTATTTAAGTGTTCGCGTATGTAGGGTGAATTTTTGGCAGTCTTCTAATGGAATTTTTATGGTCAGGCTGCGGTACAGTTGTGCCCGACCAAAGCAATTAAGTGATTTTTCATTTCGAATGCCAAATATTTCGATCTATTTTAGTACGGCTGCAAAAGGGAATTTATTATATTGATATTTATATGTGGTTATCCGAAAGAGTTAACTATTTTACATTTACTCTACATGAAAGTACGCAAGCTTTCACTACGTTTTCGGTGCATGCTTTTGGGTCGAACTTTCACGTAACGTAACGTGACGTAACGTAAGTGAGAACTTAGCTTTCAACTCCTAAAGTAAGTAATTGTATGAGAACATTCTGGGAAACTCTGGTTATAAAAGAAGCGCCGATTTGCCACAGCCAGCCATAATAATAATAAGACACAGTTGTCGTTTATTTGGCTTTCAACTCAATTTAAACATAAACAACGAATACTTGTCGCATTTTGAGGGTTCGTTCCTGGTATCGGATATCTTGAGAGGTGCAAAAGAGTAGCGCAAATATTTACCGGCCATAAAAGAGGCGGCTTTGTTTTCCCAGAAGGTCAGACTGTTGTCAGTCGTAGATTATTTGCTGATCTTTATAAGATAGTTCCAATTCAGCGAGTCACAACTGCGGCGGCATTTGGGTTAATTGCTCAGTAATTTCTAATTCAATTTCCCTTTTTGCAGGTAGCACTATCTGAATGAATGTCTGGTCTATTTCCGTGCTAATTGTAATCTATAAAAATAGTAACATGCACACTCAAGAGATGAGATGAGTAATTTGCATGCCACTCAGTGTCGCAAAATACGAAAAAAGTAAAATGAATTTCTGCGAAATCGTCATATAAGTCACGATCTTAAAAAGTGAGGAATTTCAACTGTCCAAGTTTAAAAGGGTATAGTGCAAGCGCTGTCGCATGAAAATTAAAACCTACTTTGTAAAGGCAATTTTTCAATTTAGCAAGTCGCACTGAGATGGGCCGCAAATCGGATTACGCCAGTGCCCCGAGACGTCAACGCCAACAATACAGAGGTATATATATAGTAGATATATCCCATGGCAAAAATATGGAACGGATATGGGGCTCCAGTCGAGCGCATCGCTGAACAGGTCGCTGATTCGGATACTCTGCCTTCCTATTGTTAAATTGTCACTGACGGGTTTTTTGTGAGCCACCCACCTCCGCATACGATACCAAATTGCAGGGGCGTTGGCTGGGAAATTGAATAGATAATGTAGTCACTACTGTTTCATCCAATTAACCGACGATGACAGAGCCAGAGGGCACCCCATTCAAATGTCAATATCAGGGCCAAAAGCCAGCGACTCGGTGAAAAACTCGGCAAGCTGCCAGACCGAAAATCGCTCTCAATTGGCAATTGCATTCTCGACACGAGTAGCTTACATGGCTCTGTAATCGCTAGCGAAAGTAAAAAGTGAAAAGTTCTCGTCGGAATCTCAAGGCGAGTGTATGCATTTCCCCGACTGACCTTAGCCGCGAATCTCGAGTGGGAAAACGAGTTTTGACATCGCCTTGCAGAGTTCATTTGCACAGTTATAAACACGTACTGTATTCGGCATTTGCCGCGATTTATAGCTCTGTTTTTTGGCTTGTTTTGTTTGTTGTATTATTGGGCCTTTGCCGGTAACCGGTTTTGTTCGGTTCAAACCACGCTACTTGGCTATGAAAAAGGTAAACCGGGAACTCAGCACAAACTGTGTCAAGTGTCGAGCAGATGACTTCTGAATAAAATATATTAAGGAAGCAAAGACATCGTAAACAAACCACTTGGCTTGTTCGTAAATGGCAAGGCAAATTTGAAAACAACAATGGGGACTGTCTATTATAGTGATCCAAAATTGTTCAAAAGCGAATTAGAATAGGAATAAATTTGCTTTGCACAGTATTATCTTTTTTATGTTTAAATATATTGGGAAACAAGAAGAGATTAAATTGAGATAGCTTTATCGCTTAATTCTTTCTAACAAAATAAATACATTTTGTTAGAAATTGGGTTTTTGGGGTTACAAAATAAATTGTAAAAACTTATCAATAAATGTTTTATTTTGTTATCAAAATTTATGAATTTGTATTTAAAATGTAAATATATTTGTAATTATATATCTTTATTTATAGGCAATAATTTGTTTTATTTTTAAAACCATTTTAACACTTTGTCAAGAAATTAAATGTTGGGAAAGCTTTAACGCTTAATTATTTTAAGCAAAATGTATTTATTTTCTCGTAGTTAAAAATTTCATGCAAGGTATATTTATTTTTTTATCAGAAAAATATATAACTGTCATCTTAATATATGAATTCATATTTCCTTTGCAAATTACGTACTCTGTGTCACACGTTAATTGTTAATTTGGCTCACGCATTGGCGACTCTTTTCATTAATGGATTTTATTTTTCTCCTCATTTTCGTTGCATAACAAATAACTTCCGTTTTGCGGCAACCTTCTCATCCATTTTTGGGCGGATTTCGTTTATTTAAACCAAGTGGATCCCCGGAGAAGCAATGAGCCGCCCGTTCAATCGACTTCAAGTGTAATTTTCTAGCTTAACGATTGCAAAATAGCCGGGCGTGGAACGTGTGCTCACGTTTTCTGTTCAGGTTCTGTTCTGTTAATTTGCTTAGTATTTCGAGCAACTGATAAATACAAATTATATGGCTCAGCGCTTGAGACACATATCCGAGTGAATTGTTATTTGCAATAAATGGGGCAATTACCCGGCAACTGAAATCATAGAATGCATCATATGAATTGCAAACCTAGCGGGTAATTGTTTGAATAAAGGAAAGCAAAAATGTGCATTTGCATGTTACTTAGACACACTGATTGTTATAAGGGGTTTGAAATTACTTTCTAAAGCTGACTTTCGGAGAAAAGAGTTAAGAAGTTAATTGCTGAGGGTAAGTATTTCCTATGTAGGTTATTTCCTACTATTGAGTGAAACTTAACAAATGGTTATATATTTAAGTATTCTATTTATGTCCCATTGTTTCTTAATATAATATTTATATCAATAATTTGTTTAGAAAATATGAAAGCTTTTGAAGATGCATAAAATACCTGTTTTCATATTAAAATTTGTTTCATGACTACAGGTCATTCCATTTAATTTTAATTTTAATTTTTTTATTGGCCACTGTACTTATGATATTTACATTCCTTTTTAAAGACGAAAAAATACTCGTTCTCATAACAAGATTAATATTTTGACCAGAAAGCATCCTATACTATATTTATTCTCTTGTCGGCCATTGTATTAATGGTGTTTTTGTCACATTCCTATCATTCCCTTAATAATTGCCAAGCAAAGAGTGCAATGACAATTGGGAACTATCTCGGCAATAAGTGTAATAACAATTGTGAATTATATCAGGTATAACTAGTAAATATTACACCATTTTACAGTGCCATTTAGGGCACGCTTTCTTCTGTAATTTAGGGCGTATTATCACTAAATATGTTGAGAAAACTCACCCAGCGCTGGCTTTTCAAGATCCTTCTCGGTGCTGGCACAAATAGCCTCCTTCGACGCGGACATCTTGCTAATTGTGGTGTTGTGCAGGCTTTATGGACTTAGTGACTTTGTTTAAGTTGAACACAAAGTGTTAAAACAAATTGATTACGACGCCGCAGGTGGCGCGTTTAAATATCACAATACTGCACTGCACACAATGCTTTGTACGGGGGTGTTACTATATTTGCAGTTTAACTTTTGTGTGCAAGGTGTCGGAGCATTTTCCCCACCGATATATGGTATTTTTTTTATTTGCAGAAGCCTCTGCGGCTTTCTTCGGAATTCTTCTGGATTTCTTCACTCGCGATCTGCTGCCGCCGGCAGCTTGAATTGTTCTGATTGACAGTCGGCGGGTAGCGGGCTTTAAATAAGCCCCGATTCAGTCAGGTTCGGTCTGGGTTCCACTCAGACGTCTGTTGTCTGCCGTCTGCTGTCTGCTATTTGCACGATTTATTCGCCGTTTTACCGGCTTGTTGACACTCGCTCTTCGGGGATACGGACACCTTCACTTCTCCAGCAGTTTCCCCGCTTTTCGCGCTACAGATCGGCAGATCAAGTTGTTAATCTGAAAGCAGAGAGCAGCGGTAAACAAATTAGTTTGATAAATTTAGCAGGCTATCGGCTACTGGCTACTGGCTTCAATTGGTTAGGCAAACGCTAAGTGTCGCCGAATGCGAAATGTCCACCGTCATCTTGTCGAGATTGGCATTTGATTTTGAGATCTCACGAGTCAGTCGCCCTACGCACGTTTTCCCAGTTAACAGTGGCCGGCGATCAAATATTTAACACGGTGATTTGACAAATATTATATATAGTATTGATCCATTTCTGGAGTTGGAGTACAGTTTGCCACCCGATTTCTTAGCCAGTTCTGTGGGGAGAAGGAGACCTTGTGGGATGGCATTGCAAGGCTAGTTTAATATTTGCATTTATATCGCACACTCGCAATGTAATTAACCTTACAGCTTTACTTATCTCGTTCGCAGCTTATCCACTCACATATTGACAATTTCGGCTCCCCGATGATGTAATGTGTTTATGTTTATACATTTTACGCTTATTTTGCCTCACAGCTAACTACCGAAAATCAAGACAATGTTTCCCTTTTGACGAAACCTTTTACCTGTTTTTCAAAGGTAAAATTCCAGGTAAATTGATTATAACAGCGCTTTGATTCTACTTGTATTTAAAAACTAAAAAAAAAAGACGAAGTCAAAAAAACAATAACACAGTTGCGCACTCGAGTTTTTGTGTGAGCCGCATTTCAATTGTTGTCCGAATTGTTTGCACGTCAGAGAGCAGCCGAAAAAAACGTTTTTGGAAAGTTTCGTAAGTCGGCGGAGCAACCTGTTCAGGGAGCTGTGTCAATTTGTTTGCGCAGATTTCTTAGAAATTGAGGAGCCCACACAATGCCCAAATTGGGCTGTTTTGAATGCCAAAGTCTGGCAAACAAAAAACAGTCTATAAATATGTCACCCCACTAATTACTGTACAAAAATTTCCATAAGCTAAGCTCGATGTCGTAGGTAAGATAAGCTTGCCTTCATGCTATAGTTTAGTTCTTTAATCAAGCGTAAATGCTATCGTTTAGAACAGTTTATTTAAACACAATAGCCGGGCATATGGTTACATTTACTTTTATCAGACAAAATGTTTGCTTTAATCGATTAATAAATGCATTTGTTAAGCAACCAATATTGCTTAATTATACGGAATTTACCTTATCTTTTTTATTAGCTGGTGATCAGAAATAGAAACGTGATCTCTATATGATCGCTCGGTGAGGTAGCGCAATTTTCTGGTTTGCTATGCCGTATTTCTGTTACAAATATTGATCAATTTGAACAATTAGCAATTTGACATTTGGGTAAACATTTGGGCTATCAAACTTAGACGGAATGATTTTGCATTTTACGGCCGCTAAACGCCCGCAGATCGCTGAAAGCAGTTGATAGCGATGGTTGCTATACTCCTGGCTCTGATCTCACTATTTTGTTATATAAGTCACGACAAATGAAATTAATTCAATCCGGTAATGGCTAATTTGCTGGAACTTATGCATAATTAGAAAAAAATCCCCTAAGGGCCTAGGGATCTCCGTTGAAATTCTATAAATAATGCAATTAATTTAAATTGAAATTTTAACGGCTGACTAACATTGTATGGCAACTGTCAGTTGTCTGTAGTTTATAGCTATGTATATTTCGACGGCATTAAAAGTGCATTAGTAAATAATAATAAAAGCCGAAAAATTTATGGCTGGCCATAAAACCATATTTAATGCAGTGAAGGGGCCAACAAAAATTTATGAATCTAATCGTTATCGCTAACGCCTTTTAATCGGATTGAAAAGTACGCCGAGCCGCTACCTGAAGTGTTGGAATTTTCTGCAAGATAGGTGGGCCAAAAAAGAGAAGAGGCTGCCAAAGTTCGATTTGGCCAATAGAATACTTGATGCCGCTCTTGTCCTACACCAAGGTGCTAATAAATTTCTAGTCAGACAGATTTATTGACAGATTGTCGGTCGAGTTTTTCTCCAAAACCGAATTGGAATTGGTTACCATGAGTGGTGACTGTGGCAGTAAATCAAATAGGCTTATCTAAGAGTGGGGGACCTCTCATAGATTGCACGGCTATGCGGACTCCGGACTCGGGACTCGAAACGAGATACTTCCTCTCGACCCAATCGAAACACGTGCTAATTACACTTCATTCAGCCTTTTTTCGGCTGACTGGGAATGGGGATGCGGCCATAAAGAAGGAATCCAAGACGTCTGGTATCAGATTGCCTTAATTATGTCATAATTGGGCCATATCGCTGGTCCATAAACCAGCCTTTGTCGCTTATACGATGGATCCGTGACAAGGCAATAGCAAATTTTCCACCCGTGCTTCAGTTTCAACGACCGCAGTAGATTGGCATTTAAATGGGAATTGGCTCTCCTCTTAATTTATTTTAATGTTATTCGCTTTTTGTTCCAATTGCTGCAAACATTTCCACACCATTTCCATTTTTATTTTCATTTCCAGTTCCATTTCAATTTTCATTTCCACTAGCAGCGAGTGCTTGCATTCAGCTTTTCAAGTTCAAGTTCAGGCACGAGAGACTCAACCTCAACTCACATTCCCATTCGATTCGCTTCGGCCCAGTGGTTGTACACTCGGGGAAAATATGTTATCTAATGCTTGGAAAAATTTTCTTGAACTTGTCTGCTTAGATAAATGTTAAATTTGTTTACAAAAATATATAGTCAAACTGAAAACAGATATGATCATATTTTGCAAACAATGTTAAACAAATAAAAGGTAGTAAAAACGTATGAGTTTTACGATCCTTCGGTGTATAACTGCGAAGTAAACGATTTTAGATATATACAAATTTTAGCAACGTAAATGTTAGATTTTGTCAAACTAAAACTGATATGTATTTTCAAATATTATCATAGTTTGCTACCACAGAAAAACTAAAAAAGATCTATTAGCTAATAAATGGAACTAAAAATGGTTAAGTTTTACAATCCTTACAGTGTATTACTGCGAAATAAACGATTTTAGATATAGCAAAACCATAAAAACGCACTTTCCGATTTATACGTATAGATAATTTTCGCAGTGCGGCAGTTATTATCAGATTCTTAACATTGTTTTCGCTGTTCTCGAGTGGGAAACTGTTTGGATCAGTGGACTTGGGAGCTTTAAGGGGTCTTATCTGCTTATCGGCGCGCATTTTCGCACTTGAGTTGGCTATCGAATTGGGATTCGAATTGAAAGTAACCACTTATCTGGGTGGAAGTGAATGGTATGGTTACACAAAATAATGCATCATGTGCGATCGTAAATCATACACTTGAATCGAGTTCCTTGACAATACAAAGCAGCAGTTTTTGTTCTGCTTGCTTAACTCGTTTTCTTTCCTTTGTTAATTTTATCGTCAGCCAGAAATATTAAACATATTTTTAAATTTTTTGTGGATTTAATTGGCTGGTGGTTTTTAATCAGAAACTCACTCACCTCACGCCGACACACAAACACACGCGCAAACGCACAGAAAAACAACTTTTCAAAAATATGAATCAGCTGTTTTGACTTGTCTGTTTTAAATAAGGTTCTTACACTCATTTTGCAATGCCTTCGAAATTAACTGGATCTCAGCGAATTTGCGTACAAAAACAAAGAGGAAAAAAAGGGAGTAAACTGACAGCACAGCGAAATTCAATCAGCTTAGTTTCTAGATTTACCACTCACTTTAATGGGTTGTTGTCAAATGGCGAGTTTTGCACGCACAACCTTAACTGCTGGAAAACTTTCTTTTGGAGTTTTTCACTCGCTCTTTTCGCCACGAGCGTTGGCACTGTAATGACTTACTACCTCGGCTAATTGAACGTTTTTATAATTCTGTTTCTGTTTTACCCGCGAAGCAGAGCCGTCGACTGCGGCAGCGACGTCGCAGTTAGGAAACACGAAGCGCTCAATTTGATTCACCGGCCGAGCTTCGTTTAACTGATAAATACCTGTCCGCCGGGTGATAATAGTCCATTGTGGTAATAAGGTGGCGTTATAAACCACTGGTATATGGTATAATGGAGCTACCTTTCGAGGATCCCACTCTAGTATAGAATGACCCATGATGCAAATATAAAAGGTGATCTAAACGTGAGATCTGCTTTTTTCTGATGACGTTATTTTTGACAGTCTCTATCTAACGCTTTTCCCTCTGAGAGCCAAGAGAGAGTTAAGAAATTTATCGTCCTCGGGAGAGCTGAGTAACCGGTTAAAGAGAGTTAATGCAGTTACTCCGTATAGAGAGTTTACACTGGCACTCACTCCCGCAAATCGTGTGCCGCTCACGTGAGCACACTCTTACTTTCTGGCAAATTATTAAATTAATCTCTCACCCGCATGAGAGACACATGGCGATGGGCAAAAGAGACTTTTACGATATTGACAAATTGACAAGCCCCATAAGGAGATTTACAATGCACCAGTTTAGAGCTCCAGAATTGACGTCAAGAAAAGAAAATGCTGTGGGCTCAGGAAAAATAGTATATAAATATAAGTGGAGCTAAGTAACAGATATAAAAAATTTAAATCGTAGCAAAACACTTTTCCCTGACAACATTAAGCAAATTAATTTGATTAGAATTTCATTTCAATATTGGGATTCATTTCAATATTGGACTATAGGCCAATAAATATATTTTATTTGTATTTGCTGGTATGGTTGTCCAGGCTATAAAAAAGAAATTTAAAACCCTTGTAAAAATTGTTGTGGAATATAATATATAACAATTATCGGCGAAGCTAAGAAACAGCTATAACAATTTTGATTCGTAAATTAAATTCAAGTTGGTTTTTGGCGACCTTTCGTAAAAAACACATTTTCTTGTTAACACTAAACAAATTTATCATTAACGATTTAATTTATCAAAATCTGAATCCCTATAAGCCAAGAAATACATTTTATTGGTACGGCTTTCTAGGCTTGTACTAGAAGATTAATAAATTTGTAAATGCAAATCATTAAAAACAAGATTTCTCTTGTTCTTATATACTATATATTTTCCCTGAGTGCAGCTATGCGCCGTAAACCGAGTATGGTGAGCGATAAGACTAAGGCCAGTTCTGTTCCCCAGTAGCCAATATCAAATATCAACTGATTTTCGTCTATAAAAAGTCGTAAAACACAATCTTGACCAGCAATAGTGAGGTTCGGTGTACGTTTTAATACAGTCCCATGGCAGCCCCATGAATGAGCGATCAACTTAAACTGGGAAAAACGTAGTCACATGATTTTGCGGATTGTGGTTATCGGATTAGCCGAACAACCCAGTCGGTATAACCTTTCAGAGATCTCTTATCGCGGGGACTATAAGTATGACAGGTTTGAGTGCGATTCAATTGCCCATGCCAAATCATATTTGGCCGATCCATTTTAGTCCCTAGCACCCACATTATCTCGTTATTAATTGTATTTCGAAATTTAAGATAGGACAGAGCGTGTGATAGTGACGAAATTGGGGATCGATGAAGATATTCCAGCGCCACATATTGATCTGCTGAGCTTTTTTGGGGCCTGCCGTTTGACGCAGTTAACGCGGTTTCGGATTTCCATCTTTTTTGTCAAGGTAACCAGTGTGGCTATGTGGTATGCGAGCAATTAAATGGCATTATTTCAGGTGCAAAACAACGCTAGATGGTTTTTTATTTGACTACTGGAAATTAGCGTTGATGAAATGATTTAGCACTGAATAAATTCTTGAAAAGGTGAGTCACTCGGAGATTTGAAATCGAGGGACATCAGTGACTGCATTAGAAAATTAAATATGATTGTCTTGTAATAATTTCTTATCACAAATATAAACTATAAAATAAATTTAGAAGGTAAATTCAGCTATGAACAAGAAATATGGCAATCAGTCACAGATTGTTAAAGTGATAAGAAAGTTTATTTATTTTTCCTACTTATATTTTTTAAGTTGCCTAATCTGATTTTATTTGTTGAGCTTAAGCTTTTAAAATATGGTATTAACCTCAGTATTTATGGGGTTTCAATATCAAAAATGAATTAATTTGTTACTATAAAATGTACAGCCGCTGACATCTTAAGTTGCATGGCACTTTTAGATAACTAGTTTCATATCACTAAAGTACAAATACTTATAATCTCTATTCCCCAGGCGGAACGCTGTAGCTAAAACTAGTTGTGAATAAATTAACTAGATTAGTAAGAAAATCTGTTCCACTTTTCATTTGCGCTAGCAATTAGTGTCATTTTAAAAATATCAGAGGCATAGTAATGGCATTGCCGGTACATAAGTTATTTATAATATTATTTTTTGGAGGGATTGTGGGCTGTTTAACATTCTCAACACCATATCCTTCGACAATAGAGTGTGGGCAAAATGGCACACTTTCGTACTGCTCGTCCCGTTGCCAGGAAACCTGCAAGTACAAATCCATTGGATGTCCTCCCAGAATTTGTGGTGGACCCTGTGTCTGCAAAATGGACTACGTAATCGATGAAAGCAGATCACGCTGCGTTTTGTGGACAGATTGCGGTGAGAAACAGGTGGAAGTGCCATCCTATGAAGTGAGCAGTGTCAAATACTTTGGCTCCAACTATGGTTGATTGTGTATTAACTTTGAAGTTCTTAAGTGTTCCCTATTTTTTGGCCAAATCAACTGGCAAACGTGACCTGCTGTATAATAAATTGTAGTGCAAAAAAAAAAAACAAATAAATCAGTGTCAGGCTGAACATTGGATGTCTCGATTAGAAGGCGCGCCCTGGACTGGAGGTAAATACAGTCATAAAACTTGGAGCCCCGGCGACAATATATTTATACGTATATCTCATATAGCCGCCATTGCAATCGAGTGGCTAGATAAGAAACGTGCCGCAAATCGGCCGAGCTGCTCGTTCACGTTCACGTGATGTGCACGCCGATCCATCCGCTCAGGTAAGTTTACCCACCGGCAGGTAAATCAGCAACAGGTATAGCCACAACAACTCACCGACAACGGCGATAATGAATAACATGCACAATTAAGAGCGGGCAATGTGCTAATGGCAGCTTATCTTGTCACCGATATTTGGCTAGATTTGCAAGTGATCATGGGGGCAGAAATTCCCGACTTCTTCGCTCCAAGAATGAGACATAAATGGACTCAGCAGACTTGGATTACAGCAAACAGGTACAATCATCGCTGTTTGAGTTGTCCGAGTGCTGGGAAATGTGTGCCAGTGCAAAATATTGGGTCTGACATTACTCATACGCCATGTCTGCTATGAACAACACTCGCACAAGAGCTGATTAAATTTGCCATGAAAGCCCAAAAGTAGATTATTTTTGCCAAAAGTGGTGAAATCATGGAAGCATGGGTGACCATCATATTTGCTGTTGTTCTTTATTGTTTAGTAAAAATAATAATTTTTTTTATCAATCTAGTAGCCATTTAGTTGCCTTACACTTACAAATTTCATACTCAAACTCTACACCCAGAAACTCAACATTTATTTAAAAATACATATTTTTTCGGTTTTTTGGAGCGCAACAAAATGCCCTGCAGAGTCGGCAATACGGATTCTATTTCAGCTCGTTTTCAGCCAAGTGTAAGAATTGGAAATTGGGTGGAAGAACATTGCCTAGAAGAGGTAGTGCCTAACAGATAAATATAAACAAAATAAGTCATAATTTTATACTTTCCTTTGTAGGACAAAATAGTAAACTTCAAGAAACAACGCGATCGAGGCGAGCTTCTCGTGGAAAAGGCTCGCACTTTGTATGATAATTTCCACAAGGAGGTCGTTTTGGCTGCCCCCAAGCAGACCATTATTTTCGGTGCTGTTGTGCAATTAATGCCCATCTCTATGAACATTAGTGATATGGACACAACCGATTTGAACGCCGCCCTCTCGGTAGTTATCAATGAGAAGATGGTGCGAAAAAGCCAGTCAATCAATGAGGACTGTGAACTTTCGGTGGCCCCCTCGAAACGGTCCTGTGTGCGAAACTCCTTCAGGATAGTCAGCGGAGACGGTCGCGATCGCACGGGGGAGAACATCAAGTACGGGCAGCGATTCCAGCTGCAGTGCATGGCCTCGGAACACGATCCCATAGTACTGTACAGTGGGCCCAAGCAATGCAACCTGCAGCAGGGCGTCAATGCCACCTATTTGTCCCACAAAAACGGGGAGATTAATCTGAATCTGGGACTGGTGCATCGCAGTGTAGGAAATTGAGTTTTATTATCATCATCATAAATATTTGTAGTATAATACTAATTTTAATTTCCCAGAAATTCACCTGCCCGGACAATGACATACCCCTGGCTTATACAAACTGGTTCTGCCGACACATTGATCCAAAGCAGCGTTTTGAAAGCGAAGGAGAAGATATACCGGTACGTATACCCTCAAACTTTGACTAGGCTTGAATAATCACGTTTGTTATATTTAATCGCAGAGCAATTCCCCATTGGTGATTGTACATGCAACCACAAATCGAAATCTAGCTGCCGAAAATGTTTTAACTCAAACCCTATTTGGCCCGGAGTTTCTGGTATCAGTTCAAAACTATCGCAACATCTGTAAGCATGAGATCTGGAAGAATGTGTGGATAATCAGCAATGGATACCAGACTGGTTCAAAATCAGCCAAGTCTTCGTCTCACTGAGCATTACTTAGTCGTAAAAAAAGGGCAACGCAATTAGGTGTTGTGTGAACTAGATATTTATGAGGCAAAAATTTAAATTTCGCACATAAACTTTGCCTAGCCGAGCCCCTGCTGTTATGACCTAGATAGAAATTGGCATTTGCGGAGTTAATTTGAAAAGGGAATAGACTAAACTGGGGCGGTACTTAAGATAGTGAGTGAATACATAAACTCAGAAGAAAATATGAAAATCTGGAATTATATTAAAACATTAAGTGGCACAATTCAACAAGTCTGATGTAGTATATTTATTTTTGATTCCAAAAAATTAATAAAGTATAAAATCATGACCCTGAAAAGGGTGCCCTCTTATCGGTGGTACTTCCTACATGAAAGTGTGCCACTTTGGTGATAAAACCACTCGAACGTAACACCATGCCAGACCTATAAATAGTGAACAGCCGAGCGGCATTCAACACACTCAACCTTTACCATGTCTTCGGTTAACAAGTTAGTTAATCCTTTGATTCTACTCCTTGCTGCGGCTTTGGTGCTCGGCGAGGTGGATGTTGCGGCGGAAGAATCCCGGATTATAGGTGGCCAGTTTGCTGCTCCTGGACAATTTCCGCATCAGGTGTCGCTCCAGTTGAATGGTCGCCACCATTGCGGCGGTTCCCTGATCTCCGAGACGATGATTGTGACAGCTGCCCACTGCACCAGGGGTCAGAGTCCAGGCCAGATGAAGGCCATTGTGGGAACCAACGATCTGGGCGCTGGAAATGGTCAGACCTTCAGCATTTCCGAGTTTCTTATCCATCCGCAGTACAATCCGCAGAGCCAGGACTTCGACATGTCGCTGATTAGGCTGAGCAGTCCGGTGCCCATGGGCGGATCTGTGAAGACCATCCAACTGGCAGATTCGGATGCCAACTACGCGGCCGATACGATGGCCATGATTAGCGGTTTCGGGGCCATCAATCAGAACCTGCAGCTGCCCAACCGCCTCAAGTTCGCACAGGTGCAGCTGTGGAGCCGTGACTACTGCAATTCCCAGAACATTCCCGGTCTCACGGATCGCATGGTGTGTGCCGGACATCCCAGTGGGCAGGTGAGCTCCTGCCAAGGAGATTCCGGCGGACCCCTGACCGTCGATGGCAAGCTCTTCGGTGTGGTGTCCTGGGGATTCGGTTGCGGGGCCAAGGGACGTCCGGCCATGTACACCTATGTAGGTGCCCTGAGGTCCTGGATCAAGCAGAACGCAAATGTTTAAATGGAAAACGTGAATGTGAAAACAAACCTTAAATAAAAACTATTGCAACATTACTTCTATACATTTATTTTGATTATTATGGCGATACATTTTTGTTACTTTTTGTTTTAAAAATACAAAAGTCTTGAGGTAAATAGTCGCAATAGTTATCATTACTGGTAAACAATTATAAAGATAAAAAAAACAATTACAAGGTTTCTCAAACTGTAAGCCCAAAAGTATTCTACAAAACATAGGCTTCAAGCTGAGCTTAAAAAATATTTCAAATGCAGGCTACTTTTTGGTGATCCATAAAAATTAGTTCAATATTAACATTACCACAAGTTAAGTTGTTTTCATTTTCTTGAAGCCATTGTACAAAAATTAACTATTCAAAACACAGTTTTGCATAAAAATCATAACAGCTCTTTTGGGAATTTTACAAGATTTTTACATGGGACAAAGACCACCGCTAGGTGGCGCCAATATGTTGGCCACTTGTTCCATAGATGGCCAAAGCTGCAATAGAATAATAAAAAACACATTTTCAATTCACACATTTTTATTTATAACTTTATCCTTTTATTTAAATCTTTACCTTGCTCAATATTTACTTTACTACACATTTATTACGCGCTTAGTTAACTATTGTAAGTTAAGTTTAAAAAAAGGTTATCGACCACTTCCTATGGCTTTTGGTTTCGTAAGTAAAATGTAAATGCCGCCTACAGTGAAGCTAAGCATAGCAAATGAAAAACAATGCGCAACTCTTGGCTCTTGGCTACCATCTGGATATAATATGTACGTTTTAGTCTTGAATAAAACAGTATTTAATCATAGTTATGTACACATTCTGCAGGATGCGATATGAAATTGTATACAGTATATACACAGTCGCTGTGAAGAATGCGTCCGTTATAAATAGAAGGCACTATGCACATTTGCATTAAGGACTAACCACTAGGGACTAACGCTATATATTTTGTGTGATATCGGTAGTTTGGAAACTGATATTTGTAAGTACTACAAGCTGGCTTTGTCCAACAAATAGGATATGTTGTTGTTTTGAGAATCCAACGAACAGAAATGCAACGGATTTTCAAAGAGAACGCAAAGTTACCCGAAATCTAAACATCTAAACTTAATTTGGCATAAAGTTTGCAACGCTCATCATCGTCTAAAAATAAAAAAACACAAGACAGTCCCTAAATCGTATGAAAATAAATAAAATCAAAATTTTGGTTCGCCATTTAAAGAAATGTTTAGGTAATATTAGGTAGAGGAAAAAATAAATGGGAATGCTCGGGTCACAGGCGAAACAAAGGCTATCACCAAATGCTTTCCAACTTAGACTTAGCCTAGGGCTTACTCACTAAAACATATATTTGGAATGAGGCTTTCGCAGAGCCATTTGATGACATTTGTAAAATTCATAAATAATCCGGACACACCTATCGCCTGTCGTTGGCCGTGGGAATAAGTCAAGTACACAGGAGACAAGGTTCACACTTTCCGTAAATTGTGCTAAATGTTTACAAATTTAAATGCAAAAATTGCGCTACGACTTCGTTTTTTTGGCCAGCAATTGTCAAGTGTCAATTGTCAATTTTCAATTGTCCTTGGGCCTGGCTCCATTAACCTAATCCTAAGTGCTCCGACTTAGGTCTAGAAAACTTATCAACTTATAGCTACTGTACAGCAGTCGTTATCTTTTCAGTGTCGGTTTGTCTAGTTTGTGGATGTGTGGTACTTAAGGCTAAGTAACGTCTATTCTGTTGTTTGGAAACATATAAATTTTAATATTATTTATATAGCATGGCAAGTGATGCTGCTGCTGCTGCTGCTGCCGCTGCCACAATCCGTTCGTCCCATTCCTTATTGCACATGCCTCGGGGAATCTAACTACTCCAGCTCCTGCCGCCACTTCATGTCCTGTCTGCGCATCCTTTTCTGGCCAGGCCGCTATGCATGTGGTTGTTGGTGTCGCCGCGATGTGGGCAACAGGAGGTTGCCCCTCGCATAGAAGTAGCCTCACAACTTGGAGCTGTCGTAGTTCTCGAGGGTCCACTGTTGGCGGTTGAGGCTGGGGTTGCACTCCTCCATCATCAGCTTGTCCTTGCTCTCGCTGATGGCCAGACACTTGCCGGAGGTGCCGTGGTGCAGCTGCTTGGTGTTCTCGCGGTAGGTCCAGAACTGAAAAAAAATGGAAAATTAAAATACCATGAAAATTAAAATGTGCCAATTAAAAAATCTTAAACTACGATTATTTCAGATCCAGAATACGCTTTACCATAGAAATGTTATATCAAATAAACCCAGCCACAAACATAAGACTGAACTATAAAATGGACGTTGAAAGTTGCGCTCATATTTACGGACATTTACTTAAAGCATGAATGTGCTGAAACCTAGTTGCCCTGAAGTCATTAAATCAATTTTAAATAACCATAATTTTTGTTTTTATACCCTTGCAGAGGGTATTATAATTTCAGTCAGAAGTTTGCAACGCAGTGAAGGAGACATCTCCGACCCTATAAAGTATATATATTCTTGATCAGCATCACTAGGCGAGTCGATCTAGCCATGTCCGTCTGTCCGTCTGTCCGTCTGTCCGTCCGTTTATATGCAAACTAGTCTCTCAGTTTTAAAGCTATCTGCATGAAACTTTCCCAAAAGTTGTCTTTCTATTGCAGGTAGTATATAAGTCGGAACGAGCCGGATCGGACGACTATAGCATATAGCTCCCATAGGAACAATCGGAAAAATAAATGAAAAAAAATGATAACTTTGCTGTTTTTTAATTTTTTGTTTAGTTCTTCGACATACAGCAATGGTTAAATATTTCAGAATTATGGTTTAAATTTCATCAAAATCGGACGACTATAGCATATAGCTTCCATAGGAACAATCGGAAAAATAATTGAAAAAAAATTATAACTTTGCTGTTTTTTAATTTTTTGTTTTGTTCTTCGACATAAAGCAATGGTAAAATATTTCAGAATTATGGTAAAAATTTCATTAAAATCGGACGACTATAGCATATAGCTCCCATAGGAACAATCGGAAAAATAAATGAAAAAAAATTATAACTTTTCTGTTTTTTAATTTTTTGTTTAGTTCTTCGACATATAGCAATGGTTAAATATTTCAGAATTATGGTTTAAATTTTATCAAAATCGGACGTCTATATCATATAGCTCCCATGGAAATATTAAAAATATATAAAATAACTATCAAATAATTGAGCTGCAAATCATCATAGCTTCAATGTTTTTAAAAATATACGCAAGTAAATTATAATTTACAATGTTTTCAAAAATGTTTAATTCTTGCAATAGCTGCAAGGGTATATAAACTTCGGCTTGCCGAAGTTTGCTTTCTTTCTTGTTTTTTTTTAATTATATGTCTCAAATAATATTATTTATAAATGAATGACAACTTTCAAGGCCTTGCTTACAAAATGACGAAAACCATTGGTGAAACATTATTATTATAAAATTTAAGCTTTTCAAAATAAAATTGTCGTTGTGATGAGGATAAAAAAGAAATTATACAAATTTTAAATTATGCTCAAGGCATATCGACAATGCTTGCTAATTTTAAGGTATCAATCTCTGAAGCAGATACATTTTATTATATTTGTTGTACTATTTTTAAATTTATAAACATGAATATGTCTCAAAGGGCTCTTTAAGCTTAAGTCCCCATTGTCATTGTGTTTCTCAAAGCTTAAATTCTCCTCTGTTCTTTTACACAAAGCTTATATTCCCCTCTACTCTTTTACCCAAGTGGACTTATTTTATGCACTCACCTGATTTCCTTTGCCGCCGTGGCAGCCGAAGAGCGTCACATCCTTGCCGGCATAATCGAGACAGGAGTCGTCGCGTCGAATTTCGCCCGCCTTGCTCAGCATCCAGTACTGGGAAAATCGAGGGGAAAACACATTAATATAAATTGTAAAGGCGGGGAATGCGTTTGCCAGTTGCCAAAAGTTTTTCCAGGGCTACAAGCGCACAACTTATTACACACTAATGTTTTATTCAATTAAATGCCAAAAAGCAGCTCGGTTTTGAGTGTGTATATCCTTGCCTTTGTCTGTGTGTGTTTAAGTGTATATGAGTGTGTGTGTGTGGGGGTGGGCGCGTCTGTGTGAGTCTGGATTTTGTCTGAAACTCGCTGGCCATGATTATTTATAATTTAAAACACGTTGCCATTGCCAGATGGCCTGAGCTCGGTTCAGATTCTGCTGGTGACTGAAATTGCCATTGTTTGCCCCGCTCCTGCCACGCCCCCTGCCTGTCCCGCCCTTCCCATCCCCCCTTCCCTCTCTCTCGCTCGCTATGAGGTCGTGACCAGCCGCCATTTTGTGTTACCATTTCCGCTTCCGCACCGCCAGCCGGATGGGCCTTCGTCTTTATTTTGTTTATAATGATGCCAGGACTGGAATAATGATGAGATTGGTCAGCGCAGCGATTGTACCATGAATAATTACTCTTATTGTATGACCGGTTCAATTACGGCAGTTTCAAGGACTCCTAGTACTGTTCTGGTTGCAAAAACTAGTAAAAAAGAAATGTTTCCCTGAAACCAAGCCCTTCCTGTTTATAAGGTGATAAATTGAAGATACAATTTTAAAAGAAAATAATATTTAATATACAATAACTACAAAATCTTATCGATTGTTATCTTAGCATGAAGGTTAAATTTAATATAATTAATTTCAAGTTCAATAAAAACGTCTGTACAAACTATTAAGTCAAAATGTTCCTGAATCCATGCAATTTTTGTTACTTAATGATAGATTCATTTCAAGATACACTTAATAAAATAAGAAATTTATTTAATATTCAATGACTACAAAATGAATAGGGCTTATTTCAGCAGGATAGTAAGTTATAAAAAAATCAATTTCTAGACCAACAAAAACGGGAAACGTCTTTTAAAAATCCTTTTACTACAAGTCTATCTAATAGCTGTGCCACGTACAGTCGGCGTATCCAGACTAATGCACACCCACTCACCGACCGCCCAAGGACGTTTTCCTTTGCACCGATTATACATCGTGTACATCCTCCCTTATTGTTTAGGCTCACTACACCACCACGCCGCCCCCTCTCTTTACTGTCGTCCTTGGCGGTCTCAATTTGCATTTCTTTTATCATCGCTTTCCCTTTTTCCCCGGCGCTCGTATTGCGTTTTCTGTGTGCGCGTGAGATGCGTTTTTAATTACGTTTTTTTTACCACTTCCCCAGTTTTTATCTAGTGTATTTTTTATGTAGCTTCATTTTTTGTTTCGCCCACTGAACAAATTTGTTTGCGGGCTGGGCAAAAATATTTTTGCTAGCCTAGACGCGTTTTTTTTCGCATGAGGAGAATACTTCCATTATGTGGACAGCCCCTTTTTTCAACCCACTTTTCGCTGGTGCTATCCTTTGACGTTTCAGTCGAAAGCGTTTTATTTTCCCTTTTCCCCGTTTGGCTGGGTTCGCTGGCTAAATTTTACGAAGTGCAAAATTAAAATTTGCGTGCAAAAGAGCGAAAAACGCATATTCTTCCGCGCTTATGTGTCTGCCTGGCAAATGTTGATTATTTTAGCCGCATTTCCGAGTGCAAACAAACATTTGGATGAATCTTTTTCAGTACTTTCCCCCCCTTAAATGTGGCTTCTATTTGGTGGCATTGTGTGTTTGAGGGCGTTGCTTTGGGCAGTGGGCATGGCAGTTGTCTGTCTGGGGCGATTCTAGAGCAAGCGGAACGAGGTCAACACTTTCCCCCCGCTCCTAAATGTTGAATATACAATATTCTCACACATCCGCAGTGTAATAGTATCTGAGCTTGTTTTAATACCCGGTATTTGTAAAAAACAAGGGTATGTTGTATTTGTGAAATGAAAAGTACCTACATTTCTGTCTTCCAAAGCATATTTTGTAAAAAAATTGTAAGCAAGCAAGCATTTTCAAAATATGTTGATATTTGTTAAGATTGTGATTATTTTTTTTATGCAAAAGGGTATCGCGAAGTTGATAAGTTGTTTTCTAGTTTCGGTTTCAGCTTGTGTGTGTCTGTGTAAGGTTCCATTGTTGCAGTTCATTTACTTGCATTTGTGCTGTTCGTACTTTCATTGTGGTTCAAAATACTTGTAACTAAAGGTTTTGTAAATGTGGTTGTTTTTTTTTTAGCTAGCTGAAAAACGAGAAAGCTAAAGCCAAAGCCAAAGCCATGTAAATGATTTATTATTTGGCATTGTATTTATGATTGCGTTTTAATTAATTTTCGTGACATGAGATAAATCGACCCCAAAATCCTCAAAAATATGCAATTCTGTGCGTGTAGTTGTGTGTGTGTGTTGTGTGTTGGCGCGCTTGTATGCATCCTGAAAAACTGTTAAATTGTCAATGAAATTTCGATTGGCAACTTTTATTGATAAATACTTTCACTTAAGCTATGCTAACAAATTGAATATGAATTGTTTGCCCGAGAGCAATAAATTCAAATTATTTATATACTCTACAGATGTTTGTTATTGTAGCCACAAACTCCGTCAAAATTAGTGCTCAGAACCGCAGGACTTTCACAAGGGTAGCAATTAACAACGACAAAAATATTATTGTTGTCAGGTATTTTAAGGAGGAAAAACACCTTTTTAGAAGAGGACTTCCCAACAGGCACCAAAAATCAAAAACAAATTAAGGGGACAAATTTCAAACAAAGAACAAGGAAGAAATCAGTTAAAGATTACGGGTATTTAGTTGAATTTTAGAGAATATAAAGAAAGTTTTAAGTAGTAAAGTTAAGCATGAACAAAAGAGTTAAATCAGTTATTTGAAAGATCTACAGTTAGGAAAAAATTATTACCTCAACATAAGTGTATTTATACAGTTCTAATGCAAAATATTTTTTATAGATTTAAGTGTTTTGAAGATTGTGTTTACAAAGTTGGTTTGATGAAATCTCTTTTAAAAGGAAACTGAGGAAAGGAAATGAAATTAATTTAGGGAGTTTATTTAATAAGTTTTTTTAAAAGAATTTATAAAAAATAATTAAAGTTGTAAATTGGTTAAGCGATGATGGTGTTATGTGATGTGACTTGAAGGAGTGTACTGTCTAGTGTGAAACTGAATTTGGTTTTAGTCTAAGGTTATTAACGCAAGCAAAAAAATTAACAAAGAGATACCAATAAATTAAAAGAGAATGGCATAAAGCGTCAACTCAAAAACAGGAGAGTAGACAACCGAAGCAGAAACAATTCCCCCAAGCAACGATATCGAGACATTGGAAATCAGGGACTCTGAATCGCCGCCTCTTCCTTTCAGAGTTCGGAGTTCAAGTTCAGAGTTCAGAGTGGAGGTGGATACCTGATTTCCTCCTTGGCCGTGACACTCATAAATGGACACTGGTGCATCCTCTTCGGATTTCTCTTTCGCATCCAGGCACATGCCGCTGGGCTCGTTGGCGATCTGTAATTTAAGTTGTCTTTATAGCGGAGCCATCTAACAGCTGTTCAAGGAAGGAGTCTTAGGGGAGTGTGACACCCAAACGCCCGAGTTTAGAGTTTTAGTAGTAGCAAAAAGAGTGGAGAAAGTGGAGTGAGGGGGAAGGAGTTCGATGTTGTTCCTGGCGCGGTTTTCATGTCACTGGACGGAGTTTGTGGCGGTCGCAGTGCTCACAAGATGATCTAGATGGTCTAGATGGCCCAGATGATGGGCTAACAAACCTGGTTTCCACCCTGCCGATGGCAGGGATACGTCCCCACGGCCTTCTTCTGGTGCTTCTTGCCAGCAGGTGCGTCCAAGCAGGTGCGACCGCCATAACCTAGGTTTCTTATCTGCGGAATTGGATAGTGTTTATGGGTTGCCGTTTGATTTCGTTAGCTTTTGTATTAGATTTGGGTTAAGGGTTTCGGGATGTGGGGTTAAGAATGTTATGCAAACTCTGAGAACTTACCTCTCCGTGGGCCACCGAATCGCCGGGAATGAAGAGTTCGGGGTAAATGTTGTCCAGATACCACTTGAAACTCTTGCACTTGAGATCGCGCCTGTGTGGAATACAATTAACATTATTTTGGGTTTTTGTTTTTAAAAATATCAAATTATGGTAGTTTTCGGAGACAATGGAATTTCGAAATCCACTCACCGTAACTTCCTGCGATCGCTGACATCGCCCCAGTCGCCCTTGTCGTTGCCGATGCGATGATAGTAGTACTGCGAGTACTCATCCATCCAAACCTCGGCCAACCGCACGGAGTTCTTCTTCAGCACATTCACGCCCGAACGCCACTGCAATTGAATGGAGCCATAATGGCCATGAGTGGGTGGTTAGTGGAGGGAAAGCGCAATCAGTGGACGGCTGCCGGTGCCGGAGTCAATGGAAATATTTGGCCAGCAAACAGAGTCGAAGGACGAAGGAGGAAGGAGGGAAGAGGCAGGAGCAGAATGGTCGACCGAGCAGAGTGGACAACAAAGCCTAATTACCTGAATGAGTAGCTTTTGCTTAGTGGCATTAGGTGGCTCCGGTTCTCAGTCCTTTTGCGGTTGTTTCTGGCCATCTGGCCATCTGTCTTGGCCATCTTTGCCATTCAACCCCCTCCCCCAAAACCGTAACAATGTCCGACCGTTGTGTATCTTGTTTTGTGTTCATGCGTTCACCGTACAGGTGTCTGTGGGCCGAGCTTCATTGTCGAACAGCAGGAAAATGCTTGGCCTAAAGGGAAAGTGCACCCAGTGTTTGCTCCTGACATTTATTGAAAACGCCAGCTAAGGCCGTAAATTGTGAGGGCCCTGGCAATCAATAGCTGCTCCTTTGAACTCCTATTGTATTGTGTGATCTTGTTGCTTAGAGATAAGTTTGATTTGTTCTGCATTGTTTGTTATTATTAGGTGAGTAAGTATAATTAAATTAATTTGAGTTTTGTACTTCTTCTGCTTGTAATTAAGTAATCATATTTGGTTGCATTTAGCTACAAAATGTTTAATAAAGGTGGAAATTCGATTAAGCCAAATAAGGTAAGAAATTGAATAGGAAGTTCATATGTTCAGCTTCTGCTTGTAATAAAGTAAAACAAAATATGAATCAATGGCACTAACAAATATAGATTTTCCACTTAATTGAAGTAGTTTTTACTTTTATATTGAAAGACAAACATATTAATGGCCCTTTAAAATGAATTTAAATCAATTTATGGCTATTAATATAAATCAAAGTAGAGAGATTTTATAGACATTAAATTCTTTGTAATTAATAAGAAAATATTCTTTAATTTTATTGTTCGATAAAAATTCTTTTAAAATTAAACTTCTTCAGTAAATAAAATGAAATTAAATCAAATCAGTAAGCCCTTTGAAATTAACAAGAAAATTAATTTATATATTTTCCTGATTTATAATTAATCTTTTATGTTGACTTTTTTTTCTATAGCAAGTTCATCCTGTATTTCAACTTATTTTCGCTACTAGTGATTATCATTGGAACACAAAACTCCCCTGGGATTTTGGCAGGTGTCCAATTGGTCAGTGCTACTCTGAGTGTATTGTGTGTGCCACGCCATTGACATCAAAACAGTTGCCAAACTTTTGTCAAGCGTAAACCGTTGATAATTGAGGCTGGTCCGAACTAGAGGATGATTTTAAGGGAACGTAGGGGAGTCGCAAACACACACACACACACACACACAATCACAAACACAATCACCATTGCCATGTTGCAAAGACAGCCGCAATGCATGTCCATGTCAGTGGAGATGTGTGGGTCCATGTCTGTGCCATGTGTGCCATGTTGCTGCTCTGCGGCTGCCAATCGGCAAACGGAGTAGACGGAGGGGATCGGAATTGGGATTGGGACACTGTTGACCAAACACGAAGCTCTGGACCGGACTGGTAGCTAGTGGCTGGTAACTGGTCCTGAGGCTGCCCGCACATGTTGGCTAAGAGTTTTAAATTCCAGCAAGAGACCCAATGCCAATGCTGCTTAATGAGCAATGGGGTTCGTCCAACGGAATTGGTTTCTCCCCTGTTCCAATGATTTGCCATTTTCAGTTCGATTTTCACTGTTCGGTTCTCGGTTTTCGGTTGTCTTTTCAATAATTGATCAATGGCACTGCACTCACCTTGTAGGGCGAACGTTTCCGGAAGATGTGGCCCACATGGGAGCAGGGTACTATTTCCAGGGTACCGCCGCACATCCAGGTCTTGAAGGACAGCTCCAGATTCTCGCCACCCCAAATATCGAATCCGGAATCGTAAGTGCCCAGTCTATCAAAGAATTCCCTGTCGATGGAAAAGAGTCCGCCGGCCATCGTGGGTGAGAAGACGGGTTCGGCAGTGCTCTGGAAAAAGAAAAACAAACAAGGAAACATGAACAAAGAGCAAAGGTTTAGAGCAATTTCATTTGGTTAATTGATACTCGGCTGCGATGAACCAGAGATAAACACTGAGGAGGATGTGCCACAAGTGGCAGAGCACCTGAGCAAACTTTTCGCAGCCAGCCACCCCAATCTCTACAGCTCATTTTGGATAGCAGAAAGTTTGCTGCCTCCCTCCTACTTTATTTTTTTTTTTTTTGGTTACTTTCAACAACTTGCCACAAAATACTTGAGGCTACGTTTTATTTAGTACAACATTTTCATAGCTCGTTCCTTTTAAAGGGCTATCTCTTTCACACTTTCGATACGCTTTTGCAGCAGAGAATTTTGTTTGTAATTGAATATTTGGTTCAGGGCCCTTGATTTCACTTTTGGTAGTATTTAATTGGAGAATTTCATTCTATTTTTGAGTGCAATCTAATGTCTGGTATCTCTGCTCTTGCCTGAATTTGTATCCTGGCTTGTACTGTGTTTGCACTTGTATTTATGCCAGCAGGCAACTGTTATAAAATAATTAAAAATAAATAAAGTTTACCATTTGCTTTTAATTGTAAGGAAAATAAGTTTACAGCCAAAAAAAAAGGTGGAATGGAAAATGATGTCGGGATACGATTTTATGTTTCTCTTTAAATATTTACGAGTAAAGATTTGTCAACATTTTTTAGTTAGTTACGGTTTAATTAAAGTGTTTAATATTAATCAATTCATTTCGTATTTATTCTTTTTTAAATAATAATTACTGTTATGCCATAAAGACAAGGGTATTAATTGTGGCGTAATTGTTAATAAATTATCAGGAAATACGATTTTCTGCTCACTTAATATATTTATTGTGATTGCTTTTCATTTAATGGATTGCCGGCTGGGGAGACATCATAATAATTTTCGTTATTATGAAACAATGCAAAATATGCCACTGAGGTAAATATTGCGTATACGCAGCGTGGCAGGGCCAAAGGGAAGCATCCATAAATAAGGATGACTAAGCCAACAGATACAATTGCAGGTCAAGTAATTGAGTTCCATGAGCGATAAAACGCTGACAAACGTAAAACAGAAAATGGCAAAATAAATGAAATTGTCACGGCAAAGGCCCAAAGGGAAAAGCGATGGCGATGGCACTATTAGTGCAAGACGAATAAAAACGGGTAACTTAAAGTCAACAAGAAGTACGGAATCCGGCTGCCGGACAACAAAGTGAAATCTCCAAACGCGACAAGTACCATTGTCCTTTTGCGGATGAAAAACCTCCGCAGGGGAGGAAAATTCGCAGTGTGACATTTAATAAACGCCTGCAAAGGCTCACCGAACAGAGAAGAGGGGTTAAAACTGAGGGGACAGGCCCAGAAATGTGGACAAATATGCGAAACGCACCGAACGGAGGAAAGCGCGGGGAAAAACAAGTATTGCTGGCATGCGGGCGGCCATTTTTTGTTGCCACCGGAAGTGACAGAACAAATAGGAAAAGTGAAAAGTGAAAAGCGAAAAGCTTCAAGGTGGTTCCGGGGGGCTGGAGCCGTGGTTTTCTGCATGCGAGTGTAAAAAGATTTCTTTTATTGTTATAACCCACACCAGCTTCGGTTTTCATTTTGTACGCTTTTCCTGTGTGTGTATCCGTTTTTGCTTTCCGCTTTCTCCGCTCGGGAAATGGAAGTAAAAGGCAAAAAAAATTTATTTATATTCTGAAATTATAAAAAAAAGAAGAGTTCGCAGGAGCGAAAATAAACTGAAATGAAATAAAATGCAGAATGCTGAATAAATAAATATACACGAAAATATGAGTGAAGCGTGTGCTGCTGCTGCAGTTGCACTTGCTGTTTGTGCAAACTACGCGGCAGAACTTTTCGCTTTTCCAAGTCCCCTAACCCCCTTTTGCCCATTTTCCCACTTTCCTCTTGGCGCGTGTGTGTTGTGTGTGTTTGCCATTGGCTGCATATAATGCGGCTTAAATGATTTAAAAGCGGGCAAATAAACGCGATTTTTATGGCCGTGTCATGTGGCGTTTCGTGGGAGCACAGAAATAAAGGAAAATTATGTCGACACAAGGAAAGGTGGCAAATAAATTTTGAAATCAAACCGCAACTAGCGTAAATAATCATTTTTATACAAATGTCTATAGCCAAATTTTAAAACCTGTTAAATAGTTTTGTCGCAAAAAAACATTTACCCGAAGTCCTTCATTGCGCCACATAATTGCAAATTAATTATTTTGAATTATGTAAATTATAATTTAAAATGGTTGACTTACAAAATACAAACATATCCCTCAAATGAAACGAATTTTCGCTTGCATCACAACAATCTATTAATAATAACAGAAAATAATTGCATTTTAAATTGTTTGTTTGCAACAAAGTAATAACATTGTGAAGCGCAATCAAGAGGCTTACGTTTCAGCGGACAAAGTATTTTTTCAATCGACCATTAAAGCTGTAAATTCCTCAATAAAGTGGCAAAATAAATTTTTCAATAAGCCAGATGTTCTTCTTACGTTGCTTAACTTACGGGCAATTTATTTCCGCCTAATCCTGCAATGAGGCCCACTTGGGAAGTTGTCCAAATAAGGATTTATGGCCAAGAACAATCAATTTTTCTCAAGAATTTTATAAACAAGCAAGTTCCGGAAATAAAGCTTAAAACGACATAACATCAAGAGTAACTTGAGCCCATTTCTCATTCACTTGGCATATTTGGATATCAACATAAATCGCCAGCCATTCATAATGGGTAAAGTGTGTGACACACTTTATGATGAGAAATGAACGGCGAATCTCAGGGGGCGGGTTGGGTGTCGGTGTCTCAACCGCAAATTAAGCAAGCGAAACCTCAGAGTGTGGTTCGGTTTTAAAGGCCTGGCTTTGTGAATAATGTGCTAACCTGCTGTGGCTTTCAAGCCAAGACGCCTGTGAAAACGCAACCCCACCACCATAAAACCTCTTCCACGGGCGGGGCATCAACATATCCACATTAACATCAAATAAAACAGTCACGTCGAGCGGCAGGAAGCGCCGAAAAAAAATATGCCCAGGAATATCGTAAATGTCAGAGGAGCTTTAGGGCTGGATGATGGCGGTGGATCTTAGGGTGTATTCCGGATGGGTGGACTTGGATTCCCTCCTGACACGCACCAAGTGCCGATGGGTCTCTTAGTTCACAGCAGGCAGCGGTCCAGGAGGCGGCAGGCGATGATAATGTTTAAAATATAGAGTATAGGGGAATCCCACTAGGCGAATACCCTATTAATATGGGAAACATCTTTAATTTGCCTACTTATGACACATTTCTTACAGGATGCTGTGAAATTTTCTATAAACTTTTCTAGCTTATCTTTGTTTTTAAAATTACATTACTAGACCTTTAATCATTTGTTAGTTTAACTGTGTTAAAGCAGCTTAGAAGTATCTAACATATTTGTTAATCTTGTTAATATTTCATATATATAAACAAAATATAAATAAAAAAATAAAGTTTTCAGCATTAGTAGTTGTTTGTAAATTTTTAAAAAATGTATATATTTATTTTGCATATTAAAATTTAGCATTTAAAGAACAGAAGAATATAGTGCACTCCTTCAGTTTTATTCCCTAAACCGTCAAAGTGTGTTCCTTTTAACACCTGCAAATAAGCCTAAAATCAGTAGGCCCTCTGCTATCCTGTAAGTGGTAATATTTAATGCTCGAAAAAATAAAGAAGACGTTGTCGGTGGGCGGCGAGACACGCGCTGAAAAAATGAATATAACGCTGCTTGACATAATGTGAAGTTGACTTTGACAAGTGCTTGGGCCGTGCCACGCCCCCCTAAAAGAAGACGACACCACACACACTGACACACTCAGACACTGATGCAGGATATAGAATACAGAGCACAGGACACAGGATACAGGCTGTATCTGCGAGATGGCAAAGTGGCAACTTAGCGGGGCCAGCTTGAAAGTTTCAGGCGCTCTTCCGCCTGCTATTTGCATTACGAGTCAAGCACCAAAAAGTCACAATCTTCGCCAAAGTTAATAGTTGAGGAGTGCTTCAGGTCAATGGGCGACTGAAAAGCAGAGGAAGTGGAAGTGGAAGCGGGATAAGTAGCCTTGGATCTGCGTGGATGTATGTATCTGCGAACTACAATTTGGCTTATTGCTCGAGTGCTGCAAATCCTTTCCGTTCTTTTGAAAGCTGCTTAACCCACTCGGCATCGCTGTGCAACGGAATCAGGCAGCTTAAAAGCGTATTTAAATGTTTAATGTAGCGAACACACACACACACCTACACACAGTGAAGAAAAGAGGACGGGAGGTTAAGGTAAAAATTAGCATAAAAAAGTTGTTTTAGTGCTCTGCTGATTTTGCTTTGATTACCGGTTCACTGGACTGTTAGCAAATGCTTAACCGCCCCAAACCCACTTCAAAACCCCTTAGCCATCACACCAGCACCATAAAAGTGGAAGATACGAAGTCAGGAGCGTAGTAGGTAACTTATATCTCTGGTAGCTCTTACATCAACATTTGTAATTCCAACCATTATCTGAAAATATTGTTTGAAATATTTACTTTGGCAAAGACTTTATTTTAAATTAAAGGGGTTTTTGATGTTTAACTTTTTTCTCTAATTGACGGGAAAAACATCAGCTAAATCCAATTGATACTTAGTTCTCTTGGAACTAGTTGTGCTAAACGACATCGAAAAGTTACAAGGCAGGAATTTCGATTAAAGCAGGATTAGGTCGGTATTTCTCCATTTTCTCTTAAGCCCCTTTAGAACCCCTTCCTCACGGCGCCCTTGCCTTCAAAGGGGGAGTAATAAAACGCAGCAGCGATTTCCAGGCGCGAAAGCGCGTGCACAAAACTTTGTACGTTTTCAGTACGCAGCGCATCCTACCTCGAGGTCCTGGAGGCGGCGGCAAATCCCCTGGACCAAGTGCAATAAAAACCAAAGTGCAACTTTGCGTATTAAGCAGTAAAATCTGCCAGTGA